ATAATCGTCAATAAAATTAGATTTGTATCAAAAAATAATGTATGTAATTCGTCATATAATGCCCTTGATTAGTAAACATTTATAAATACTTATATTTTCTCTGTTTAACTTTTACATGAATCTTGTCGCAAAAATAACAAAGCTATAGATATTAGATAATCAACGTGGAGTCTATATACAGAGCTAAAACAATATGCCTGTGATAATTAAAGTTAGTTTTTGAAGATGAAGACAATGAATCAATATTTGTGTTATGGGGATAAACTGATAAGAAATACATGTTAGGCAATGTTGATATAAGAAACGTTAGTAAAAACCAGCTAAGTTACAGGAATTGATTTTATAGAAATAAGTGTGTTAGACAGACAGTAAGCATAATTAAGAATTTGCTATAAAATTATTTGTATCTCAGATGATCGATGTTATTGAACAACCAGGTAGAGAACTATAAATAATGTACGTGATAAACACAAGGAATGTATAAACACGAATAGTCCATAAACAGAAATAAATCGTATGAAGACTTGATGTACGGAAAACTATAAAAATAATTCCCACTAGTGAAGAAGTATCAGGTTTCATTGGAACTAGTAACAGGACAAATTCCTGGCACGTGGAACCATGCCATTAATACGGTTAGTGTTAAATGATAAGGTCAGCTCAATTTGTCGTGGGGGGGTTGGATGACCGAATGGTTAGCACGTGCGCGCTGTATCATAAGGTCTGTCATTGAGTCGACTGGTTGCACGTGACAAGGAGTAGGGTCGCCTATCCAATCTCGTGGAGTTTTTTCCTCCCAATGCTAAAGACCAAACGCACAAGCGAATTATTGAAAAAAAATTGGACAATGTGTTAGTCCCGAAATGACCTAGGCTGTGTCGAGTGGACCCTCCCTCTCTCTCTCTCTCTCTCTCTCTCTCTCTCTCTCTCTCAATTTTTCGTCATAGGTTACGAGATGTAAACAGGGCTTACCCTAACCAGAGCCTACCATTTCGCCAACAATCACGTGCCCTAACCTTATTTACATCTCAGCAACCTTGACAAAAATTGAGCTGGCCATAACAAATAGGTTAAGCCCCATTCATACGGCTGTCTGGCTCTCGATTAACCGGGAAGTTAACAGATAAAATGTATCCAATAAAAAGCAATATTTTAACGTACATCGCACGCTAAGAACTCGCCGTAACAGACCGTCTGTGCCAAATAAGACGAAGAATAACGAAGAAATACATATGCCAGACAGTGTGCTATCCGGGAAATTGTACCGGGACAACGGCGCTACGACCCATTCTTATTTCGAATTCCAACAGTCTAGGGTTCTTTTATATACACGCCAATGTGCACACGCAAACTCTGTTGTTCTTCCCATCCCAATGACTAGACAATGTTCCATGCTATGCCCTCGCTACTGAACCACCGACAAGGAAAAAACACCCGAAAATGCCGAGCACTCGGGACTAGTTGTTAGGTCAATTTGCATATGCAGTTGATGCAACTATGAGACAAATCTTGTAACATTGCTTTGTACACAGGGTGCACTGTTCCCAGTTCATGGGTAAAAGATATTTATATTTTTTTTCTTAGAATATGTATACCGCGCACAGATCTATGTTAATATGCATACTCAAGGCGCTATGCATTGACCGTTGATAGAATCACTAATATTAAGCCTTTAACCTTGTTTAAGTCATTTAAACTCATGAAATGGAGTTGAATGTCCACTAGATACAAATAAGGTCATGTCGCGAAAAACATATGGATCAACCTTAATGCAATAAATCGCTTGCGTGTAGGCGTCTGTAGCAGTGTGTGTGTGTGGGGGGGGGGGGGGGGGACATGAGTACATGGAGAAAACCAACGAGGTTTCACATGCAATCTTACTTCTTGCCACGTACAAGCGGTGAGTCCAGACCACGACTCAATGACAGATGTTATGGTCTAAAGCGCGTGCTTGAAACCGATGCCCCCTCCCCCCCCACACACACACCACCTCCAAAAGAAATGAAATGAAATGGGGTTTAACGTCCTGGGCTAATGAAGACGGGCATGCGCCATACAGTGGGCTATGAGGGAAATTTTGCCCGGGCAGCGGCGCAACGGCCTACTCTTATATCGAATTCCAACTGACAAGGGATCTTTTACGTGCACGCCAATCTGTACACGCGACCTCGGTTTTTCGTCCCATCTGAACGACTAGACAGCTGTCCTTGTCAGGCCCACCATCCTGCATCACTAACAAGGGGAAACCACGCCGGAAAATCTGAATGAACTGACCTCCAAAAGAAAAAAAAAATAGAATCTAGATTTTTTTTTTTTTAAAAAATAACGTCACATACAGTTGAAGAGCTACTGATGTTTCATTTTGTGATTAGCGCAGTGCTGATCAAACAAACATAGGCTAATTATATACACTTCATTACTTTATTGACAGTAAAAATCACAGTTAAGATAAAAACAAAGTTCCTATAACGCCGATTAGTTGATTGACATTGTCTTGGTGACGTTAGATGATTCAGATAATTTTGCAAAATTAAACTTTTTTTTACTGCAAATTCGTTCATGGACAATGTTTACTAATTTAATGAAATTAAAATAAACCTATTTTTCAAAAACAAAACAAAAATAAACTAAGGTAGTTCCGGGTAAACTGAACTTAAAGGGATAGTATCGATGTTATCAATCTTTAGCTTTCCGATTATACTATACGTAGGTATAGATTCATTTGAAATATTAGAGACTTTTGGCAAGTGGAATTTTTCCCATCCGTATAACGTATCCGTATCGTCACGTGATACGTTGCGTTAATTAGTTTTAGAGCTTCGGCAGACTTCGCGCCGCGTACGTATGGGTAGCTGAGCTGAGCGTAGTTTATTACAGCATAATGGCAGTTATCTACCAAGATCAACATCAGTACTAGTCAAGTACCTAGCCTACAAATTCCTGACGAGAGTGAAGTCGTTCGACAGTCGCTGAGTTATTTACAATTTTTTTTAAAAAATATAGTGTCGAATCTTATTAAAAATCTTCATGAATGTATCATCTCAGAAAGTATATACCCCTTTTACAGATTTGCAAGGTCCCACCTCCCTAAATTTAGCACGTAGATCAACCAGCGTGCCGACAGACAGGAAACATATGAAAAGCTCATCAAAAGTAATAATTAAATTCCTGCAGTCTTTGCCATGGTTAAAATCACGTCAAATACACACCTTCGTGTTCTAGGATACACATTCATAAAATGCTACGGCACAACATTTCAGCGTCTAAAAGTAGCAAAACATACGGTAAAAAGATGACGATGTTATACGGACCTTTTCCGTATGAAAGCTGTTCCATACGTGCTGCCGTATCCGTGTGCCGTATCAAGTATGAGAAATACACACGCATTGATGACGGCACACGCAAAATCGTTACGGATACGCAATACGGACCAATAATTTACGTTTGCCAAAAGTCTCTATTGGGTTACTTTTGCCGTATGCAATTGATCAACAACAATGCGTTAGCTATATGAACCCCCACGAGAAACGTAAACGTTTTGTGATTAATTCAGAGAGTCATATCCAGAAATTCATTTTTGTAACCTGAAACACTTGGTTATGCCCCCATCAGACTGGGAGACGTGCTTACTGTTCTGCTGCGACTGTACGGTGACCAGATAATTCACAAAGTCGCCGGCAAACGTGAACACAACGCGATAAAATGTTCAAAAAAATTACAAACTTGAAAAGAATTCGCGTTCTGACAGCTTTCCAGGTCATATCGCAGAACGTTGACGTTTGTTTTGAACACGCTCAAAACAAACACCGTGACTTGGCAACCATGAAGACCACAGTGCGATATCTGACATTTCCACCACGCTTATGGCGACCTTGACGCGCCCCGGGACCATTTTCCGTCAACGTAGCAGCACATTAAGGACGTCACCCTAGTCTGACGGGAAATGAAATGAAATGAAATGGGGTTTAACGTCCTACTGTTCTGCTCCTATACTGGGCTAATGAAGACAGGCATACGCCATACAGTGTGTTATGAGGGAAATTTTGCCCGAGCAGCGGCACTACGACCTACTCTTATATAGAATTCCAACTGCTAAGGGATATTTTACGTGCACGCCAATATGTACACGGGACCGGTCTGACGGGGTTATTATTGAGCAGTGTGTGACACTGAATGGAATCATTTTGTATGATTATCTCGACAATCTTAAATGGCCTTACTGAAACCGAAGGGGGTTACGAACGTCTCGCTGTTCCATTTGTTTTTGTATTCTAGAAAGTTGTTTTAAATTAATCGTTGGCATATTTGATTTAAATTTAGTACACTACTCAGCTGCACATCAATATAGTGTTTCGTTGGATTCAGTTAATGTTTGACTGCATTATTGGCCTTTTATGAATCAAAATCGAAATGAAATGGGGTTTAACGGCCTACTGTTCTCCTCCGACTCGACTAATGAAGACGGGACTCGAAATCAGAGTGAATTGTTTAGGAGTTGTTGTTTTTTTTTTTAATTTTGACATACTTGATTGGACATTTGTATCCCGCTGTGTGTATGGTACACAGATCAAATTTGCATTTCTTGCGATTCTATTATTTTTTCATTGAATTATTGGCCTGTATTGAATTAAAATCAATCAATATTTTGTTTTAGGTTTAACATTGGGATATTGAATTGTTATTTAGCACACAATATCTTTCAGTCTCGGTCACAGTAGATATTTTCCGGCTGGAACAGGGGTAACATCTCCTTAGATGTTTATCTCTGTCTTTTATACATCCCTTCAAACAATTACACCGATCAATATTGAATGTTTTCTAGATCGATTATAATAATTTATCTTTAATAAATCATCTGTCTATTGAAATTCATTGTGACTACGTGCCAATAATCAACATCACTCTTGAGAACAAACAGCAGTGGAATTAACGGTTAATATCCATAAAACGACTTAATATCGGCGCGAGTCGGAGCAAACCTAATCGCGGGATCCCCGGCATGAACATTGGTGTATTTTAATGTAATAATTTTAAAAGGACAAAAGTGAATTATAAAATATGATCCTGTTGCTGTATTTAAGCATCGTGTCGACGATATTTTATGTAGTTCAAACCCACCCATCTTCTGACTATTCGGAAACCAAGATTATTACAGATACGTGCAAGGACAACGAGTTTCTGTTATCAACTACTACTCATTCCAGTCTAGATTGTGGAATTTCTTGTGGTGAGAATGCTGAATGTCGACGATTTGTTTTCTGTTCGTCTAAATCAACATGTACTTTATATCAACATGGTACTGATTGTATTATATCAGGTGATTCTACTAGTTGTACTTGTTACAGAAAGGTGAGTATTCAACATGTATATTATATCAACATTGTATTCTATCAGGTGATTATACTAGTTGTACCTGTTATAGAAAGGTGAGTATTATAACTGGTGATATTACTAGATGTGCCCATATAAGAAGGCTTGATAGGCTGAAACTTTGAACCTGGAGATCTAGAGGCCTCAGTTCAAAGTGTATAATATTAATTACACGGCATTAGCCTTTCCTACACGCATTTTAGTCTTAATCATTCGTCATCTTCATCTAGTATCTAGTCGTTAGGATGGGGAAATAGTGGGGGGTGCTTATCAGTGCAATAGAGTAGGTTCTAGCTTAATGGTTTACCCAAAGTTCCGTGCACCTCACGCCAAAACCTCGCCGTAACAGATCGTTTCAATGGCTTATCTCTCATATCATCCACATTGCCGGTTATATAACAACTCTTCCAGATCAAAGTGTAGTAAATACAAATAAAACGAAATTTTGAACTATAAAAAAACGAAACGAAATAATAATCAGATTGACATAAGAACAAAACCCAATGGACTCAATGTCCGTGTCCATTTCTATAGCGCCAAATCTCCACAAAAAAATGTGTTAGTGCCGCTTGGCAAAATAGATCTTCAGAAAAAGTCTTTAGCCCCCCCCCCCCCCGTGCCATAGTTAGGCTATAACTTGACTGAAAATAGTGAGTTTTAAATGTTCTTGAATGACGATTTTGACGCAACTGAACCGGTAACGGATTCCACAAAACTATTTAGGAGCTGTAGTGTCATTTACACATTTATATGGCGGTATATTAGATTCAAAATTCTAAAATGCTTTCGTCTAACTTCTAACTTCTGTTCGTGTATTTTTTAACTTCTATTCATGTAATTTCTAACTTCTATGCATGTAACTTTTAAATTAAGACAATGTATAATCCAACTTCTATATTTGTACAGTGTAAATTTTAATTCTGTTTCATATTATTTCTATTATTTAGACGAAAAACGTCTTCTTCATTGATGCTTTACACGTTTAACACCAACATCAACGAATTTAGAATTTTTACATTCTACCTAGCAGCCATCATTATGAAGTCGTTTGGTGTCGCCACTGCGTGCTCATTGGGTGATTGCGCACCTGGTCGGGACCATTATGTTGATATAAACGACTCGTCCTTCGTCGGGTTGAAGGTTGGACTGAAATTTGCTGAGAGAGAGAGAGAGAGAGAGAGACGGGCTTGATAAAGACGAGTGTATCCTCGTCGAAACGTCGAGTATTAAACTCAGTAATTGTGTATCCATAAAATTGTACCCTGTGTTAATATAGACCGTACAGTATATAAATAATAATTGGCTCAATTGTAAAAAAAAAAATCAAATAAAATTCTCCAAATCCTGCACTTGCCGTAAATAAAAATAAGAAAATGCTGTTTAGCTTATATTTGAAACAGTATTTGCAAACCATATCACGTTCGATGTTGTTTGGGGGGTTGGATGGCCGAATGGTTAGCACGTGCGCTTTGTATCATAAGGTCTGTTATCGAGTCAACTGGTGTGGTTTCGATTTCCCGGTTGTACGTGCCAAGGAGTATGTTCGCCTGTCCAACCTCATGGGTTTTCTTCTCCGAGTCCTCCAGGTTCCTCCCACTGCTAAAGATCCTACACGCAAGCGAATGAATTATTAAAATAAAATTGAGCCATACATTAGTCCCGAAATGACTTAGTTTGTGTCGCGTGGACGTTAAACCCCCTCTCTCTCTCACTCTCTCTCTCTCGATGTATTCAATTTTAATACTCCGCCAAGCCATTCAACCTGACGAAGAGCGAGTCATTTTTATCAACAGAATGGTCCGATCAGGTGCTCAATCGCCAAATTGAGCACACGGTGGCGACACCAAACGACGTCATAATGACGGTTGCTAGGTAGAAGTATCAAAATTCTAAATTTGTTTGACGTTCATGTTTAACATGTAAAGCGACAATGAAGTAGACATTTTTCGTCTTAATAATAGAAATAAGATGAAACAGAATTAAAATTTACATTGAACAAATAAAGAAGTTGGATTATACATTGTCTTAATTTAGAAATTACATGAATGGAAGTTAGAAATTACATGAATGGAAGTAAGAAATTAGACGATAGCATGTTAGAATTTTGAATCTAATATACCGCCATACATTTAAAAATCCTGGCAGTAGAGTTATGTATAGAGTAACAATTAAGTAAAATATAACACCCATCACTATTGAATACACAAACAGAGCTTATAATCACGTATATATCAACCAATAGTCACGGTTTTAACACGTTAGTAATGTGATAGAGTAAAGTATAACTCTACATGTACATACAACATTAATTGTGAAATATTATGTATTTAAAGTTTTATATATATTTTATTATTACTACACATGTTCATTTCGTATATACATATATTTTATTATTACACATTTCTTATAGTCTTATAGTCTTGATAGATTAGTTGTAAATTAATCTAATTGTTTTAATTACCAAAACGTCTAGAGATATATAACTTAAGCTCATTCAAACTGTATTCTTATAATTAAATCTATTGTGCTAATTGTTTAATGAGTTAATCCTAGGACGCTCTAAATCAGACCTGGTTACCAACATGTATATAAACTCAAGCAGAGTGCGACATATATATTCACTCTGGAAATAAACATACATGTTGCACAACCTCATCTGATTTAGAGACTAATTTATTTTTAGGATAATTGAGAACGAAACAGCCAAGCGAGTAAACACCCCCCCCCCCCCCAACCCTTACGTATTGTAGTAGAATCTTGCGCACAGGATTCCCTCAATATAGAACGCAACAAACGGCCCGTTCTCAGTAACATAACACCTACTTAATGATTCCTGTCTGATTATACTAACAATTTTTGGTTCACTCCCATTTCGACTACGTCCCATTTCGACTACACCCCATTTCGACTACAAATTTTATTACCCTCAAAATCCTGACCCCCAAATAATCAGCAATGAACTGTTCCACTGATTAAGAGATCTAATTAAGGTAATGATTATTGTTAAAATAGCTTATTCATTATAATATAGCTTGTTTTTTAACATCAAAGCAAAAACATCAACTCAGAGTACATTTTTGTTTTGACAAATATTTGTAATATTTGGAGATAACATTGAGTTTAATACTTGCTTATCTATATAAGATGAATTGTTTCAAATTTTGTCTGCGATATCACCTCGGTGGAAGCGGACGTAAAATACGTAAAATACAACTAACTCATCATCATCATCAAATTTTGTTCGCTCCTTTCGATGAGATTTTTAACTTTGGCATTCCCTGCTAAGACACTATGTCTCAAATTAAACTGGACCAAAGCATAATCCATACGGCTTCCTCCAGTAAGTTTCTTAGGAAACATCCTTGACTACGATATCACCTTAGGTGGAAGTGGACGTAAAACCCCAGAAACGAACGAACGAACGAAATTTTGTTCATTTATTCTTCAAGTTCACTATCATTCAGTCAAACATTTAGTTATCTTATTAGATTTCTTTTATAACAATTAGTTTGTGTATTTTCAAAGTAGAAATATTAGTTTATTTATTTATTAACAATAACATTGTTTCATGTGTATATGGCGGGACTTCGTGAAGTCGAATTCGTAATTTCTCAGAGGGGTAAGCCGCAAGTCTTGCTGGATGGATATGTGTATAGAAAAAATGAAATGAAACGTCCAAACTGTTCTGCTCCGATTGGTATAATGGTGATGGACATACGTCACACAGTGTGCTATAAGAGACATTTTGCCCGGACGGTGGCGCTACAGCCTACTCTTATATTGAATTCCAACTGCCAAGGGATCTTTTACGTCTCATCCAAACGACTAGACCGCTGTCCTTTGCTAGCCCCTCCATCCTGCACCCTAAGAGGTTGAAACAACCTTGGAAGATCCCAATGAACTTTCTCGGCCAACACCTGGATCGAACCCGCGATCTCCTGTCTTACTCACTTAGCCACCGTGGCTCCCCATTTAAAATAGACGCCTTCTCGTATTATCATATAACATTTCTTCGTTTAGTTGTGAATTTTCGCTGGCTCGCTAGCCTGGAGGTCGGGTGTTCGATCCCTGCATTTGCCGAGAAAGTTCATCCAGATTTTCCGGCGTGGTTTCCCCTTGTCACTGATGCAGGATCGAGGGCCTGACAAGGACAGCTGTCTAGTCCTTCGGATGGGACGAAAAACCGAGGTCCCGTGTATACATTGGCGTGCACGTAAAAGATCCCTTGGCAGCTTGAATTCGATATAAGAGTAGGCCGTAGCGCCGCTGCCCGGGAAAAATTTCCCTCATAGCACACTGTATGGCGTATGCCCGTCTTCATTAGCCCAGGTTAGGAGCAGAACAGTAGGACGTTAAACCCCATTTAATTTCATTTTTGTGAATTTTCGGGAGTTCTAATTTTTACATCAGAATACAAATACCCGGGAAATAAAGGCACCCCGATCATTAAGTCGCATTATCCTTATTTTTTGGACTTCCCGTTTTGGGAGAATCACAGACACCGGTAGGCAAATGTTAGTAGTGCAATAGTTAACTCGTTTTCTGGAAATGTACAAAGTTCCACGAATCCGTAAAGTTACATAGATTTGTTTAAAGTTAAACCGACATAGCTTGAGCCAGCCAAGGTCTAAATTTATCTATTCTATTTGTAGAATATTGGAAGGAATGCAGATGATACTACCACATGTGCGGTGGGTTTCTATGGTAACAACTGCCAGAACGTTGCCCAAGGTAATATTTAGTAATATTGTTTCCGCATAGCCTGTACGAACATTCAAACAAATGTTTAATCAAACACATAATACACGCATTCTCTTTAGTGAGTGTGTATGTTAAAAGCTCAAATACACACCCCAATTCATGGGGTATGCATATCTGATTAGAGTCGATCAAGTCATGGACTCTACACTGTATGGAACTTCGTAGCAAGAGCGAGACATTAAGTAATATATTGTAACAACAATGAAATGAAATTTTGCCCGGGCAGCGGCACTACGGCCTACTCTTATATCGAATTCCAACTGCCAAGGGATCTTTTACGTGTACGCCAATGTATACACGGGACTCGGTTTTTCGTCCCATCCGAACGACTAGACAGCTGTCCTTGTCAGGCCCTCTGTCCTGCATCACTGACAAGGGGAAACCACGCTGGAAAATCTGGATGACCTTTCTCGGCCAATGCAGGGATCGAACACCCGACGACCTCCAGGCTAGCGAGCCAGCGTCTTACCCACTTAGCCACGTGATCCCCATTGTAACAACACGAGGGCCGGGACAATCCTATTGTAATAATTTGCACGACAGTGGGGACGTAGCATTATTAGTTTTTTTTTAAGTTTATCGATTTTTTAAAATTTTTGTATTAGCCTCAGCAAAATATTTAAGTAATTTCTAGATTATAGTAATTATCAATTTTGTTGTACGTGAAATTTGCCTGGAAAGTAGCATCCGTCTTTTGGTCTCGTCCGCAAAGGACCCGAGTTGTCTCGGGGGTTCTCGGTCTATGCCACAATTCCTTCCACGGACTGTTAAGCCGAGAGACCAGTTCCATGTGGCCGACTAAGACAGTGTCAGTCGGAAATGGACAGCCAATGGATATATTATTATTAATGAAAAATAAACCCTAATGTTTGTTTTGTTTTGTTTTTGCTTTACAGACTGTAAAGATGCGTATAACAAGAATATCCACTCGAGCTTTCAAATTAAAGATATTCCCACGTATATAAAACCAACGATTGCCGCAGAACCCGTTGAAGTAAAGTGTGGTTTCGGAAATGGTGGAAGCACCCTATTAATGCACAGGAAAAGATATTGTAGCTTTATCAACTTTAATCGATCAACTACAGAATATGAACAAAGGTTTGGGAACTTTGATTCGAATTATTGGATCGGATTCAACACTCTACTTGATATTATGCTTGGTTCACCGTCTACGTACAGGCTACAAATTATGGTATTTAATACTGCCTGGATCCCTTGTTCGATCTACTATGAAGGATTTCAGATAGGAAATAAATCCTCAGGATACAGCTTTGGTTCTAGTTCTACCACACCCTCTCCGGATCACGCTGATTGTGGTGATTCAATGACCGGAAGTTTGAATTTAATTGGCAATCCATTCTCTACTTATGATGATGATTATACTGGCGTCAATCAATGTGCGAATAGGCTTGGAGGTGGCTGGTGGTTCGAAGATAGTCCTCAGTGTAGCAGAAGTTTCCTAACTGGCACAGTAGATGGTTCTACGTCAGATACGTTCTGGTTGGATAATCTAGATGGAGAATTACTGAATATGGTGAAATTCGTCTTAACGAAGTAGTATACTGGACTTTCCAAAATTTTGGATTCAGTTCTTAGATGGAACTTGACTTTTATAAACATTAGTATTACATTTCATCATTAACACAGTTATCCCTATTCTCAAGAAACGTCAATGTTCCTAATCATCTGTAGTTGCAATACAAAGTTCAATGGATTGATTCCGTAAGCATGGCGTGCTTTACCTACGATACCTATCATTACCACGGTGGTAACTGATAGTTGCCGTATAATAATCTTTCAATGTCTACATTCGAAACTTGTCTTCGACTAAACTTCAATATCTAATACATGTTTCGAAAGTCATATCTAATGTAAATAAAAAGGAAATTGGGTTTAACGTCCTACTGTTTTACTTCGAACTGGGCTAGTCAAGACGGGCATACGCCATACAGTGTGCTTTGAGGGAAATTTTGCCCTGACAGCGGCACTACGGCCTACTCTTATATCGAATTCCAACTGTCAGGGGATCTTTTACGTGCACGCCAATGTGTACACTCGACCTCAGTTTTTCGTCTCATCCGAACGACTAGACAACTGTCCTCGTCAGTCCCTCTGTCCTGCATCACTGACAAGGGAAATATCTAATGTGTACAAATAAAAATAACATAGAAATATAGTATTGAATAGTGTTTGTAAAGATTTTTATTTGAAATTTTGTGTTTGGGTTTCACTGACTACTTTTGAGAGGGTGGGGTAAATACGGCAACGGTGCAGTTCTCACAAACAATACATGACTTATCTCCCTTTAATTAGCAATGATCTGCTCTTCAAAATTCAATGTTTTATATACTATTCAAAAAAAGTAGGGGATATTTGATTTTTAAGTGTTATTAAAGTCACCTAATGAAACTGACGAAGAAACAAATGACAAAATGAAATGAAGTTCACATTCATCGATTTATTCCAAATGATCGTTAGACTAAGTAAGGCACAGACTGACCATTATAAGGGTAAAATGATACCCGGGGTCAAACAGCAAAGTTACCACAGCATCACAACCAAGTCAGTAACGGGTAAATCCTCCTCTGTTTGCCAAACAAGCATTGATCCGACGTGGCATACTCCTAATGATACGTCTAAGGTCATTTTGGTCCAGATTGTCCCATTCCTGTTGCAACGCAGCAGCAAGTTCTTGGACATTGGCAGGACGTTGTTGACGTTGACGTAACCTCTGTCCAAGCATGTCCCAGACATGCTCGATGGGGGAGAGGTCGGGACTCAGTGCTGGCCAAGGTAATGTGGTGATGTTCTGTTGTTGGAGGTGACCTGTAACGATCCTGGCCCTGTGACATCTTGCGTTGTCATCCTGGAAGATGAAACGGCGGCCATGACGTCGTGCGAACGGCACAACATGGACTGCCAAGATGTTGTCCCGGTAGTACTGGCCTGTAACACGCCCTGCAACAACATGTAAATCCGTTCTTCCAGCAACAGTGATGCCTCCCCACACCATAACAGAACCACCCCCAAATCGATCATGTCTGATGACGTTAACGTCTTGGAAGCGCTCGTTTCGACGACGCCACACCCTCCTACGTCTGTCAAAAAAACCAACAGTGAACCTTGACTCATCTGAAAACATCACATTGCTCCAGCGTCGATTATCCCAGTGTTGACGATCCCTACACCAACGACGTCTTGCCTGAATGTGATGATCTCTCAAACAAGAGATCACGCGAGGACGTCGGGCGCGAAGGTGACCCCTATGCAGTCGATTCCGAATCGTCTGGCCACTCACTCTCACACCAGTGTCTGTTTGAAGACGAGCGCTGATCTGATTTGCTGTGATGACACGATTTCTCAAGGCCAAGGTACGGATAAATCGATCCTGGGCTTGAGTTGTCGCCCTTGGTCGACCTGAGCGTGGTCTGTCCTGTACAGATTGTGTATCACGGTATCTGGACCATAGCCTGCTTATGACAGACTGAGAAACATTCATCGTCCGCGCCACAACCGCCTGTGTTGTGCCGATCTGTAGCATGCCAAGGGCACGTAACCTTTCATTTTGGGTAAGCCGACGCATATCAAAATTTGTTTTCTGGTCACTAAAACAATTAAACTGATGTTTCCACCCTGGAATTCAATGCCACAATGACTGTAACATTCAACGTCAGAGTCGTGCAAATCTTGGGTTGGACCCCCATGATGATCCCAAGCATCACCTGCATTCCATGCGGTAGCTATTGGTGCGTTTGGGCGTCACATGTAACTGGAAATGTTTCTTCTGTTAGGTTCTATAGTGACTTTTTTCGTAGTCATTTGCATATTTTAGTATTATGCCCCCAAAATCAAATATCCCCTACTTTTTTTGAATAGTATAAATATAACTAAGATATCCACCAAACAACTAAAAATATCAGCTTTATATGTCTCGTATCAGAAAAAGGGGCGGGGTTTGTGCAAAAGAACACATACGAGTAATAATATTATGACCTTGAATTATACTTCATTGTCAAAATAGTAGCTACGATATGAATTTATTTAAAACGCTAATTTAATTGTTTATGAAATATTGTGAGAATAACAGGAAAAGAGGTCTAAGGCCAAGGAAAAATTCTATGTCTAAAAGCTCGTGATATGAAAGTTACCATTTCATATTTGGCATGAGTGACCAATCACATGATTAATTACATCATAATTAGCCAATAGAATAATTAATGGCTGTGAATCTGAAAGTATATAATTCGTAGAATGTGCGCTCAAGGGTAGACTTCATGAAGATTTGAGAGAGGAAATTCGTTAGGAGAGTCCGCTGAGGTCCAAGTGTCAACATTTGGGTTGAGGGATAGGGATTGATTATAATCTATGCTTGTACCCTATGTATCGGAGCTTAATATAAAATTGTTATCAAGAAACTCTTGTATTTGTTGTTCCTGTTAATTATACTATTTATGATGCAGTATATTCAATCACAACGTGAAGCCGTTATTAATGTAGAATGTCAGAATGACATTTAAAAATGCGTCCTAACCAGTTAAAGAATTACAGATGCGACAAGAGACAATACTAGACGATCAAGGGTTGTTCCAAAATATGAAAAGCCGGATGTGGCAACCGGTTTAAGTGTGTGGCCCGCTTTTCACGTATGACAGACGACGCGTGGTGCTACACGGGTCTGTACTGGGACTAACAAACTCGTCAATCGTATATCAATAATTCGCTTGCCGGAAGGACCCGGAGAAAAATAACCACGTACGACATTTGACCAACTCCTTGTCGTACAAGATTGGAATCGAAACCACGCCATGCTCTAATACGCACGCAGTCCCCCCCCCTCCCTTTTTCAGAGGCAGGGTTAACATCAAACTACCATGCATTGTGTAAAATGTAGATATATAGCTGTTCCTGTTACACTAGTTAGTACACAGATAATGAACCAACGGTTGTCAGGTACGATACGCACACATTTGGCAAGAGATGGATAGAGAACAAGCTAAAAAACAAAAGCAATTTTTCGTACAATCAGGGGCCATAATCCAGAGAGTTATGGTCTGAATGCGTAAATATCGAAAGGGATTTTGGATATAAAGATATACTTTGAAATCTGATAAAAATTATGACCTCTAGGGGTCCACAACCTTCGTATTACACATGTTTACACAATTGGCATAGCATATAAAGAGCGGCCATTTTGTCGGGCAGTTTCGTTTCGATTGTCCCGAAATTCGAACTCAACTTACATTATTGTGTAACGGTGATATATTCGAACGTTGTTTGTTTTAAATCGGATAAAAATTGTGACCGCAGTGAGAACACAAGTTGGAAACAATCAGGGACCATAATTCAGTGAGGTTTGATCCGATCTGGTCGAATATCGAAAAGAACCAAGATCGTTGGGTTATAAATATGCATATCACGTTTTATCAAACTCAGATGAAAATTGTGACCTCTACGAGTGTCCACAAGCTAAAAACCTGATTCCTCGTACAACCAAGGGTCATAATCCATGAAGTTTTGGTCAGCAACATGTCAATATCGAAAGGGAAATTGTGACCTGTAGAGAGTCCACAAACAAATTGTGGATGGAAGGACAGGGGCGATGGCATAATACGTCCACATGGAAATGAGTATGTTGGAAGTTGATGTCATACTACCGTATTTTGAGTTATAAAACCTTAACGTTTGCACTAGGCTAAATGCCTGTTTGGTCATATTAATTTTTAACGAAAACATGGCGGACATTGTCTAATCCACTTAATATATTTGCCATCTAATTGTCTAGAGAGTTGATTATGAGGTTGTCGTGTGAATAAATGTCTCACTAATAATGTATAACACATTTGAAGCCAGACAAAAGGGGTTAATTAGCTTGTACATAATGCATCTTTAAGAAAGACAGGCTGAAACTAAACCAGTACCCCATCCTGGACCGAAAAATGAAATCGGAATCGGTTCTAAAGGTTGGAATATAACTTTAGAAACACATTATCGGTTGACATTTATGGAATCAATCTTAGGATCCAGTTTTTCAAAGAAACATATCTAATGGGAATGGCGAATTGTGCTCATCTCGACAGGGAAAAGGCTAGGAGAGCTGGTTCGCCAATGACTATCTGAAGACCAGCACATATGACATCAAATAAGTTCCATAATAATATTGCTGTTTGGATTTAGATGGATTGCTTAGTTCATCTAAAATACATTTAGAATTCTGTTTCCAAATATTCATATAGTTTTATGATTAGAACGTATACTATCTTAATTCATGTTAAAGATGCATTATGTAAGAATTGGATAAGGAGTTCAAAACTATGTCTCGATTATGAAGAAGAAGAAGAAGAGGAAGAATTGTTTTATTAATGTGTTACACATTGTACAATAGCAATAAAAACACAATTTGCGAAAAAACAAAAATTATAAGTCTACAATGTCCGGCCTTTAAGGCCTACGAGACACAACAAGCATGATTTTAATCATCTACATTCGATAAAAAAAAATAAATACATGTAGTAACAAAGATAAAAATAAAATGAAAATTTGAATCGTACTAACAATAATATTTTCCTATTACATGTTCTTTAGTATTTTAGCAATCACAATATAAATCGATTAGAATAAGAACACATTAAGTAACTAAAAACAAATAGG